TTTTCACACTTACTAAGAACTGATTTCATATTTGTTTTGAAAGATTATTAGCCAAGATTTTTGTTGCTTGCCATGACTATTTAGTAGTTTTAAGAAAAAATGAATTATTCCAAAATTCTTAATGAGTATTTCAGTAATCATTTAGTTTGCTAGGGTGTTGTGAGGCTTAATTTGTTAATATTTGTAATATACTTTGAGACACTCAAGTAGAAGAAAATAAAACTTTATTTTAAAGTGATTTATTGTTTAACAAAACATTTACATCAACAGGAACATAAAAAAATTAATTTATACTTCCTCAACCATTGCCTCTTACTGGCTACGGGCTCAGAAGCAACAAGTTCTCATATTGCTGGTCTTCATTTTTTTTGTGTTTCTAGTTTCATTTTCTTCCTTTGGAAGTCATTCTGTGCGTGTGTGTGTGGTGGTGGGCAGACAGGACTCCTCCCTGTATTCTGTCTCAGTCATAACTTTTGTTCATAACCTTAAGTTTTACTATTCTCTGTTCCAGCTGTTCCCAAACTTTTTTTTTCTGAGCCCCTCTTTGGAGATTCCTGTCCCATGCACACCCCTTTTTTCTAAGAAATGAGGTGGGGGGTAGGAGGAGGGTGTCTGGTACCCATGGGAGCCAGCAGCTGGGACCACACAGACCCCCCTCTTGACCCCAGCCCTTCAGCAGGGCCCAGTCAGTTCCTCACACTTCAAAAACCTCTCCTTTGAATGAATTGACTCCCAATGTCTGGTCCTCTGATGTCTTTCTGAATATTGTCCCCTGTCAAGCACTGCGCCCACCTCTCCCTCCTCCAGGCTAGCCACATTTGGCTTAAGTTTTTAATGGGATTTTCAAGTACGTGTTATGTAATGTATAAACATTGCATAAGGCATTTTTTCAGTGTCTGAAAAATGCAATAGTGCTTACACACCAAAGTCTGATTTCTTTCATTTCTTTTACAAGATTTTTAACAGCTGACTGTTTTGCCCTTGTGTAGTTTCTTTGTTTTTTTTTTTTTTTCTCGTTATGATTACCCTGAGTGAATTCTGCTTTGTACTTGTGGGAGTGCTGAAATATTTTTAGGAAGAGGTTTAAAAAAACCTCAACTGTCTTGTTTACGATTTTTGGTGAGGGAGAGTTAACATTAACTAGCCCTACAAATTATACTCCTACTTCATAGTAGTAGCAGTAAGTAACTCTTGTACTCTAATATTTTTGGTTCTCGTATTTATTTCCACTGGCCTTACAAAATCCTAAGGCATGAGAGTAAGTGACTCATTGATGTGATATAGGAATGTTAGCTGTCATCCAAACACTTCATTCACTTGTTGTTTTACTGGGATTTGAATCACAAGTTACAAGTCAGTGACACAGATTTTTATAATACACAAACAAGTGTCCAAATATTTTTAAAAGCAAACTATTCTAAGTGTGTGCAAATTTATTGGGACAGTGGTGGGTGGGAATTAACTGACAGCATACACATAGAAGGTTATATTTTTAAAGTGACTTGTCTGATGACAACCTATGTCTCAAACACAAAAAGAAGGTAATCACAATTGGAATTTGGCTACCGTTTAAAGAATGTCACGTATATTCTGTACTGCTGTTCAGGAAGAATGCATAGTAGGCATGCACAATTTTCCTGAAGTGCAATATGGGATGCAACTGAATGGGTGGATCTAGGGAAGGAATTTGGCAAAGTAGCGGTATTTGTTTCTTCTGCTGCTCAATACTGTTTTGTAGGGCAGCCGAGGCTGGAAACCTATTTTTATAGTCAGCTCTGGATTGGGTGTGCCATTTACAGCACTCCGGATTTTAAAGTGCAGGCCAGCAGCTTGCCTAATGAAGAGTAACTGAATCTTATTAATTTGTTGTTGTTGTTGTCTCATGCAGCTGAGCATTAGGATTTTGCTAACCTGAACAAAAGAGGTAAATAGATGGGGTACCATCATTTCCTTCAGCCTTGGCCACATAGGTTAAGATATAAGTCTTATAATGTCTTGCTTGGTGGCAGCAGGAGAAGGAGTACTTGGCACAAATATTTATGCCAACAAAACACTTTCCAGAGAATGTGGTTGCAAGAAAACCCACCATACCATATTTTCTTGCTCTTTCTGCCTCCTTACCCTCTCTTTCTCAGTGCTTGACTATAGTTAAGGAATTGCATCTTCAAGTTGGCCATTTGAGGTGCGCTAACTGGGTTTTGATAAATGCTCTTACAATTTACATTTAATTTTAATCTCGGAAGATTAGCTAATAATTAAGAAGGTTAAGAAGATGCTATGCTCTGATTCTGCCACTGCAATAGTACTTCATATGTATCAGAGCCTTCCATAAACTATGGAAAGCATGCTCTTTGTAACCATATTTTATAAGATATTGGGTCATTTGCATGGAAGATTTTTTTTTATAGAATAATGTGACCTGGATGTTTTCTAATAGGTATCTTTTGCTCTTATTTATGTCTGTGTTGCTAAAATGAATCTGGAACAGTTAATTCCAGAGCTGCTCTTTCTTATTGGTAGGGCCCTACCAAATTCATGGTCCATTTTGGTCAATTTCACGGTCATAGGATTTTAAAAATCGAAATTTTCATGATTTCAGCTCTTTAAATCTGAAATTTCACAGTGTTGTAATTGTAGGGATCCTGCCCCAAAAAGGAGTTTTGTGTGTGGGGGGGTGCCACAAGCTTATTGTAGGGAGCGTTGTGGTACTGCTAACCGTACTTCTGCACTGCTGTTGGTGATGTTGCTGCCTTCAGAGCTGGGCAACTGGAAAGTGGTGGCGGCTGGCTAGGCGCTCAGCTCTGAAGGCAGAGCTGCTGCCAGCAGAAGTAAGTACGGCATGGTATGATATTACTACCCTTATTTCTGCGCTGCTGCCTTCAGAGCTGGATGCCTGGCCAACAGCTGCTGCTCTCCCGCCGCCCAGCTCTTAAGGCAGTGCAGAAGTAAGGGTGGCAATACTTCAGCCCCCCCTGCAACTCTCTCTTTATGTCAGGGCCCCCAAATTGAGAAACCCTGGTCTCCCCTGTGAAATCTGTATAGTATAAGGTAAAAGCACACAAGACCAGATTTCACAGTCTATGATGCGTTTTTCACGGCTGTGAATTTGGTAGGGCCTACTTATTGGATTGGTGTCAAACACTGTAAACCACCCGATCTCTGCTTTGGGAGCAGTAGTTGCCAAAGCATAGTTTGTGTGAACATTTAATGTGGTGCTTGATGTTTCTTGCTTTTACTTTCAGTCTTGTGTTGAGAGTTCTGATTTTGTTGGCTTTGGTTTTAGATCTATCTTTCTGTGTAGAACTAGGTACCTTTACAATACAAACTTTGCTTTGTAACTCTTGTTCTCCTCTGTTCCCCAACACACACTTCCCCTCAAAGTAAAGGGAAATGACCATTTCTGGAAGATTATGAGATTAATCAAATGGCAAATAAGACAGTTTTTCCCAGCACTTGACATTTTAACTCTTGTAAGAAAAGCAAGTGGGCAGGATCTGTACGATCTGCGTCACTGAGTAGGAGTCAAGGGGAGAGTTTTTAACTGACTTAATTGAGCGCTGCAAATCATGACATTTGTATGATGAGTAATTTTAAAAACTCCAAAGCAACTCAAAATAAGACTGGGTTTATAGTCTCTTTCTTGACGGGAAAGAATAATCTGCAAGCAAAGATTTCCAGTTGTAATTTTTGGAGACTGTCCGTTCTTAATATTAGCTGTGTGCTTGGTTCTGGGCCAGGCATATGTAGCCCAGTTCCTGTGCTGAGGATCTTAGTCTGAACGATGGATACAGATAATATACTTCGAGAACCTGAAGAAGTGTTAACTTAGAATGCTAAATAAATTAGCCAGAGGCATACATTTGTACAGATTTAGAAAGCCTATTTCTCCTTTCTTCTCCTATTTCAGATTTTGTTGTTTTTATAAAATAATACCTTCAGCTGTTTAAGTAATTTAATTTGTTTGTTTAGTAATGAAGCACACGGACATTGCTTGAAACTCTTCAGCTCCACCTCTCTTCTGGGTCACTGAGTTTTGGCAAATGCAACTATCTTGCAGCTGGTGCTTTTACTGTTACTCATTCAGCTCTGCTGGCTGAAAATGGATAATCTCTGCCAGGATCATGCCCATCATATCATTGGTGCCTGCATATTTTACTGTGTAAACAAAGAAATTACATGAGCCTTGGCCTGCATAGACCATCCTGTGATTTCTGTTGCACCTCTGTCCATTACCATTAGGATGGTCTGTAAACAAGCTTTTAAAACTTTCCATATTAATAGTGGCTAAAATGGACTTTCCACAATAATGAACGGTCAAAAGAAAATGCACACTTTTGGTGGCTTAAGAAATTCCCACTTTTGGTCACAGCAATCATAGAAGTTAAAGTTCCCCATTTCATTTTCTTCGTGGGAAGTTTAGAGGAGAGGTAGGTCTGCTTGCTATCTCTAGTTTGAGAGCTGATGACTTAAATAGAATAAGAGCTTTTGAGTGCCATCCCATGTTGCATGTTACTTGAGGGTAGATCTATGCTGCTTCTTGAAACCCTTTGTCTTCGTCCAGGAAGCTGATGGGACAGTTGCATGGCCCATTTTTCACTGGTCTGGGTCTTGTGGTGCTGTCTCTTGTTAAACGTTGGCCTCTTCTTGCATTATATTTCTTTTCTTTTTATTTTCTTACAATTGCTTTACCTCTTCCCCACTAAGTATGAGATGATATAGATTTAGTTGGGGATTGGTCCTGCTTTGAGCAGGGGGTTGGACTAGATGACCTCCTGAGGTCCCTTCCAACCCTGACATTCTATGATATGTTTACGGTCCTGAGAAGGCTGTTTGCTCTTCAGATATTATTGCATCACCTCCTTTGTTGTTCTGCCCAGTGTATATATACAAATGTAAAGAGCATATGCATTTTAACTGTGCTATAATAGCACCAAATAGTAACTTCACCACATAGCTTAACCATTGTGTTCAGCTTGTAAACTGTATTGTTTCCTTTACAGGACCCGTCGGGGCACAGCCCCTTCTTATGGTGCCCAGACGTCCCGGCTATGGCACCATGGGCAAACCTATTAAATTGCTGGCCAACTGCTTCCAAGTTGAAATCCCAAAGATTGATGTCTACCTCTATGAGGTGGATATTAAACCAGATAAGTGTCCTCGCAGGGTGAACAGGTAAGTCGGTCACAGAAGTTGTAATTTAATCTAAACTATATTGAAATCTTTAAGCAACATAAGATCCTAGTGAAGTAATTAAAAGCTATAAAGTTATTTTGCAGTAGCTTATTTTAAGAGATGGCAGTGACTTCTACTTCCACTGTATGCTCCCTGAAGTTTAGCGAATAGGAATTTGTTCCCAAATGTGTCTAAGTTATTTATAATATGTCTCTCAGTGGCATTGGGATGGGATGGTATCTTGCAGAATCAAAGTAAATAAAGTAGTTGGAATATATTGTGCTGGCTAATAATATCAAAGGCAAATAATAATTTTTTTCCAGTAATCATTGAGTTTTAAATGAAATAGGCCAGATTTCTCAAACTTATTTCTCAGTGTGCAATTAACCAGGAGTAAAGGATGAAAGATTCAATCCTACATGCATATCTTAAGCCTAATATATTTTAAATGCAGCATTAGAGATTCACAGTAAAATATAATGCTATGATGCCATCTCTTTCAATGGAATGAGCAATGGTGCAAATCCAGCTTTTTTTTCATATCTCAATTGCTGTTCTTGTTCACCCAATTTAGTGTAGCTGAGTTATGTAGAATTCAGTCTGAACTACAGACCAATCAGCTTAACTTCAATACCCAGAAAGATAATGGAGCAAATAATTAAGTAATCAATTTGCAGACATTTAGAAGATAAGATAAGTAACAGTCAGCATGGATTTGTCAAGAACAAATCCTGCCAAACCAACCTAATAGCTTTCTTTGACAGGGTAACAAGCCTTGTGGATGGGGCGGGGGAGGGAGAAGCAGTAGATGTGGTATATCTTGTCTTTAGTAAGGCTTTTGATACGGTCTCGCATGACCTTGTCATAAACAAACTAGGGAAATACAACCTAGATCAGCGGTTCCCACAACACATTTTTTTGGTGGCCTCAGAGAGCAGTCACCGACTTTTGCTGGTGGCTGCTCTAACAATTTTTCCTAAAATACTTAATTACCTTTAGGAAAAACAAATAAATATGCACATATACCTGTCCAAATCATTGTAATGTATTTATGTAGGATATTGCAGACTCAATAATAAAAATAATGTAGGGTTGTCTCTATTCTTTACTGGACCTAAACAAAATAGAAATAAGCAAGGTGCTTTGCATGTTCTTGTCTTTTTGTTGTTGTTGTTTCTCTCCCTTTTTTGATTTTTTTTTTTTAGACTTGCTATCTAGTCTGCTTCTGTGACAAGTGATATTTCTGTTTGTTAATATCAGTTTTCATAGGAGCAGACTAGCTAGCTGGGAGGCAGTGAAAAGTGATATTAACAAACATACAAATATTACTTTTCACATAACCAGACTAACTCAGCCCTGGCAAGGCGCGGACAGGATGGGGAGGGAGGGTAGGAAGGCAGCCGGGGTCCAGAGGGGATGGGAGACCGGGGGAGGCAACGGGTGTCTGGGGGGATGGATGGATGGGGGCCTGGGGGAGGCAGGGGGTCCCTGGGGGGATGGGAGTTTGAGCCTGTGGCCAGCATCCGCCACCACATGGCTGGAGCCCGAAGTCCAGCGGCTAGAGTGTGTGGCCAGGGCACAGAGTGTGCGGCTAGCACCCACCACTGCACGGCTGGGGTCTGGGGCTGGATCCCGTGGCCAGAGCCCAAACCCCTGCCACTGGGATGGAGCCCACCACCGTGTGGCCCACGCCCAGAGCTAGAGGAGGGCAGTGGGGACTGGGGTGATGGGGAGGTGGTGGTGGTGAGCGTGGGGCTGGGGCCCCGACGCTGTGGGGACTGGGGCCCCTGGGAAGGTGGGAACTCACACCGGCTGCCTGCTCATCTGGCGTTTGTGGCTGTAGAGGGGGACAGGGCCCAACCCTTGCTGGCGGTCCTGGGAGAGGGGGCACTGCTTTGCCCTCTTTTCCAATCACTGGTCAGGAGGCTACAGTCGCACGAGAATCACCTGGTGGCTGCATTTGAGTAACACTGACATAGATGGAGCTACTATGAGGTGGGTGTTGAATGGGTTGGAAAACCGTTCCCGGAGAGTATTTATCAGTGCTTCACGGTCAAGCTGGAAGGGCATATCAAGTGGGGTCCCTCAGGGATCAGTTTTGGGTCCTGTTCTGTTCAATATCTTCATCAATGATTTAGATAATGGCATAGAGTGTACGCTTATAAAGTTTGTGAACAATACCAAGCTTGGAGGGGTTGCAGATGCTTTGGAGGATCGGATTAAAATTCAAAATCATCTGGACGAACTAGAGAAATGGTCTGAAATAAATAAGATGAAATTCAATGAGGACAAATGCAAAGTGCTCCACTTAGGAAGAAACAGTCAGTTGCACACATACAAAATGGGAAATGACTGCCTAGGAAGGAAAGGGATCATAATGGATCACAAGCTAAATTTGAGTCAACAGTATAACAGTGTTGCAAAAAAAGCAAACATCATTCTGGGATGTATTAGCAGTAGTGTTGTAAACAAGACACAAGAAGTAATTCTGCTGCTGTACTCCGTGCTGATTAGGCCTCAACTGGAGTATTGTGTCCAGTTCTGGGTGCCACAGTTCAGGGAACGATGTGGACAAATTGGAGAAAGTCCAGAGAAGAGCAACAAAAAATGATTAAAGGTCTAGAAAACATGACCTGTGAGGGAAGATTTGAAAAAAAAACTGTGTTTGTTTATTCTGGAGAAGAGAAGATCTACGGGGGGAGGAGGGGGAGAGTGTGTGTGTGTAGGGGGAATGACAACAGTTTTCAAGTAAATAAAAGGTTGTTACAAGGAGGAGGGAGAAAAATTGTTCTTGTAAACCTCTGAGGATAGGACAAGAAGCAATGGGATTAAAACACAGCAAGGGAGGTTTAGGTTGGACATTAGGAAAAACTTCTTAACTGTCAGGGTAGTTAAGTACTGGAATAAATTGCTTAGGTATGTTGGAGTTTTTTAAGAGCAGATTAGACAAACACCTGTCAGGGATGGTCTACATCAGTGGTTCTCGAATTGTGGGTCAGGACCCCAAAGTGGGTCGTGACTCCATTTTAATGGCGTTGCCAGGGCTGGCTTAGACTTGCTGGGGCCTGGGACTGAAGCGGAAGCATGAGTCCCACCGCCAGGGGCCGAAGCTAAAGCCTAAGAGCTTCAGCCATGGGTGTTGGGGCTCAAGTTACAGGCCCCCTGCCTTGCGCTGCAGGCCTGGGGCTTGGGTTCCGCTACACACCGCCCAGGGTGGTGGGACTCAGGCAGGCTCAGGCTTTGGTCCCCTCTCCTGGGGTCATGTAGTAATTTTTGTTGTCAGAAGGGGGTCACAGTGCAATGAAGTTTGAGAGCCCCTGGTCTAGATAATACTTAGTCCTACTTTGTGTGCCTAGAGTGCAGGGGACAGGACTAGAAGATCTATTGAGGTCCCTTTAATAGGCAGCAGGTTTAAAACAAATAAAAGGAAGTATTTCTTCACACAACACACAGTCAACCTGTGGAACTCCTTGCCAGAGGATGTTGTGAAGTCGAAAACTACAATAGGGTTCAAAAAAGAACTAGATAAATTCATGGAGGATGAGGTCCATCAATGGCTATTAGCCAAGATGGGCAGGGTTGATGTCTCTAGGCTCTGTTTGTCAGAAGCTGGGAATGTGTGACAGGATGGATCACTTGATGATTATTTGTTCTGTTCATTCCCTCTAAGGCACCTAGTATTAGCCACTGTCAGAAGACAGGATACTGGGCTAGATGGAACTGTGGTCTGACCCAGTATGTCCATTTTTATGTTCTTGCATTATGGTCTTCCAGTCCTACAATTCTATGATTCTTCCCTGGTGTCTCTCAGGTCCTTCCTCTGTCTCTCAAACTGTAACTGATGTTCAACATGATCTTGAATCAGCCATAGCTCACTTTTTCTTTATGTAGAAACAAAAGACCCATAAGCTGGATATAATTAGGTTTTGACTTGTTTCAGAAAGGTCAAACTGTACTGACTCTTGTCACATACATTTGGTGTACATCACAAGCTGAGTTTGTTCATCTGATATAAGAAGACTATCCTAAAATATTGAATTATAAATATAAAATTCTATCCCATTCTGCAGTTGTAGGCTATAGATAAAGATGAGTCTTGTTGCTTGGTCACTGCTGACTTAATTTCAGACTTTACAGAGTCAAATTTGAAACAAGGAATGTGGTGTTAAGTTATTTCATGTAATCTGCATGTCAAGCATACATTTTAATATTACCCTGAATCCTTCCGAAAACTCATTTGTGTGCTTTGTGCAGGTTGTGTGTGTTATAGGTGAAGCTGGCAGCAATGTCTATAGTTAAGAGAGTCTAACTTTCCATTTATAAGACCCATCTTCATTATGTTAAGTGGTAGAGATCTTTGCTGTGTATCTAAAGGTTTCAACCCTGCTGATGACCCATATGATGGTCAATATGGGTCCACATGATGGAATTTTTTCACTTGTGTTTTTGTAAAGTAGGAAACAGATTTTTTTTTTAAAAAAAGTTAAATTTGTCAAGGCTGCAGAGGAAAGCAGGCAGTAGTTCAGTGCCAGAACCAAGGTTGCCTGTGCAGCCTAACACATCCCAATTGAGTCCTTGACTCTTGTGGCCTGGAAGTACTTTTAATGTAATTTGTTGTAAGCAATATTTAATTTGTATCTTGTCCTTAATATCATGAGTTTTAGAGCAAAATACATCTCTGCAGTTCAGAAGGAATTAGATTGGTCCAAAATGTGCCAATAGAAAAGATGAATCATTTTATAATATTTTGTAAGGAAGATGAATAACTTCATATTTCCTGTCTGCTTCCTCTGAATTGAATAGTTTTGATGGAAAGAGAGTGAGACACTTTTTTCTTGATGTCTCATGCAGTGCATTTTGCCAGTTGGCAAGAAGGGTGGTTTCCATAATAATGAAGTAAAAGACCAATTTCTGCAGCCCTGACCTACATAATTTAAAAAAAAGAAAAGAAAAAAATCCTCTTCCCTCATAACTTCCTTGAGATTCAGTGCTGTTTTTCA